TCGATGAGTCCTTCGAGAATGTCTCTGCGCCTTCATCATTCCTCCCTTCTCCCTCCTTCCCACTACGCCCACCCTCAGTTCCACCCGGAAAGCCCGCCCTTTTACTGGCGACTAAGCAACCGCCACCTCCGCCGCCTCTGCTCTCTCAACCCCCCAGGCTTCCCCAGCGTCCGATCATCCAACCACGTGGCTCCACGAATAGCTTCGCCTCTCACAGCTCTTCCCCCTCACCCGTAACCTCTGGCGTAGGCACACCAGTCCTAACCCGTACCAACTCCGCCAGCAGCTCCTCACACTCTCACCAAAGTACGCGCCGCGTTCCTCCACCCCCACCACCCTCAGCAGCAATAGCAATCCCCCCATGCACAAATGCCCCACGTGCGCGCTCGCGACCCCCCTCAGCGCGCACATCCGTCCAGTCAACCGCGACGACTTCTTCAGACCGATCATCCCTCTTCTCACAAGGAACAACCACCTCCCGCTCATCCATTTCCTCCCGAATGACATCCATCTCGGCATCCGCGTCAACGCTCACGCCCTTGACGGGAACGAAACAAACACCGGCGGCACGCGTGCGTTACGATGCGGTCTTCTCGGCTAACGTGCGCACACACGCGCCCAAAGCGCCACCGCCACCGGTGCCCCTGAAACGCCAGAATGCAGGTTGGCGCGGGCTATCTATCGACGTGCCGCCGCCGCCCATTCCCGCGTCACCAGCGCCACCCGCCGGGCCGTCGCTGACAGAACTCGGACTCGAGGCGAGACTGGACGGACGCCTCGTGCGAGCGATATGGCTCAAGTCTAGGCTGGAGACGCAACGACTGCGGGGTATTTGGTGCGTATCATCCTCATCCTCATCTTTTCTTTTCCACTATTATTTTTCAGTAACGCTGACTCCTTTGCGTTTTTTTTTTGTTCTTTTTTTTTTTTTGTAGGAATGAGTGCGACCCGGATGGAACGGGCTCTCTTGATCGCGAGGCGTTTGTGCGCGGGATGGCGCGGATCGATGAGGAGTTGCGTCGCGCTCAATTGCTCGGTCGGGCGCGCGCACCGCGGCCGGTTCCTTCTCGGCCGATTCTTCGCTGAACTTTAACGGACACCACCTTATAGCCTTGGACTTTTTACTGGCACACTACGATAGTATCTAGATACTATACCGGCTAGCTCTAACACGCTATACCTTACTGTGTTGTGCTCTCACCAATAATGAACCTTGTTTCTTTCAAACATGTATCATGAAGCTTTTTAACATATTCTCTGGTGTAGATCATCATTCGAATCATGCAAACCGGCAGCACGTGACAGCCTGCGTACAAGCCAGCAGCTCGACACCAACTCATGAGAGCACCCCACGCGCGCCCCCACCTCCACCAGATGTCCCGCTATATATCTGCGCCAATAACCCAAGCACACCCCCATCAGTACCAAGCCCATCCTCATCTTCCTCCTCCTGCATCGACCGGGAGCCAACACCACCACCCCGCGGATGCCTCCGCGCGCCATCGACATACGACTCGCCCAAAGCACTACGCACTTCACCCTGTGAGTCTGCCCCAAGCCCAAGCTCCCCACTGCCACTACTACTCACACCACTCGCTACAGCTATAGGCACGCCAGTCCCCGCCGCCGATGAGGAAGACGAAGGAGGAAGAGGAGGTTGTAAGTTCGCGAGAGCGACTGATCCATCCGAATCGCCGAGCGAAACGCTCTGCGCCATGCCGGAATGGTACACCGTCCCCGTCGACTGCCCAAGCATCGCCGACGTCGTGCCAAATCCTACGCCTCGCCGCCGCACGGCTGCGGTTTGCGACTCGTGTAGCGCACGCTCATACTCCCGTACACGGACCGTCGTCGTGGGAGTGAGGCTTACGTTGGGGCGAGGGGTCTGATCGTCTGAGGTCCGTCGTGCGGAGAGATCTGCGATACGCGAGAGATACAGTGAACCGGATGGGTCCGCTGGCATCCACTCCGGATGTGCCGCTTTGAATGACACAAAGGACTTCTCCATCTTCCCGTCGTTGGACATCAGCCTCGCGTCGGAAACTTTCGTCGGAGCGCCGAACTGTTGGCGTGGTGTTATTATGAGCGAGAACGGAAAGGTAGAGAAAGGAAAAGTGACCGACCTTGACGTTGCCGTGTCTTTGGAAATCAAACACGGCAAAGCTGCAGACGTACCCGAGCCCATCGACATGGACAGTGAACTCACGGAAAAAGTCGACGATAGCCGGCGCGCATGGAGGGAGAGCAAACCAAAGGATGAATGGCGTCAACACGACGCTAGCAAGCTCCGTCGCGAAAGTGACCGCCTTCATCGCGAAAAGCTCGCCAAACTGCGTGTGCACAGCCTTGGAGTGTAGCTGCTCCCGCCACTCGTCCGGAAGGTAGTGCGTGTACTGGACGATAGCCTCCATGAGCACTTCCGAGTCGAACACCCTATTCTCTTCGGGAATCATGCCCCGCGCAACTGCAAGGATACCACCAAAGAGGGAAAGGTAGAAAAAGACCGAACGATGAGGAGTAATCTCGAGGTGGATGAAAAGGTCAGGATCAATGACGGTGGCGAGAAGAAGGACGGCGGCAAACGAGCCAGCAAGGAACGCGGTAAATCTGGGCTATTGCGTCAATTAACATATTAAAACGTGCTACGGAGTCTCACTTCATGATGATTGCTAGCTTTTCGTTGGGAAACTGATTCATGTACATATTAGCAATGGGGTACGACTCCTTGAGACGATTCTCAAAAAGGTGGGGGAGTTCATTGAATTCCCGGAACTTCCACTGCGCAAAGGGAGTATATGCGCGACCACTGATTGAAGATGGATTCTTGTATGATTCCTGTTTTCCTCGCCGTTAAAGATTGCACCATGACGAGAGAGGAGATATGTACTTCGAAATATCGGAAGAACGAATACATGAGCAAGTATACCACGATGAACGGTGCGAAAATGGCGTTCAAAACACCCATGAAAATGAAACGTCTTCTTAGCCTGCGGACCCACGTCAACTACGACGGTGGCATGGTCTTTGCGAATTACGCACCCGTCAATCAACGCCGTTCGATTCTTGCTCTTCAGGAACACCTTCCTCACTCGTCCCCTTCTATCAAACAGGTACTCCATCAAACAGAATTGGAGATTCCATTCAAGGGCGCGCGTGAGTGTCCGGCCCTTGCCCTCTTCTGTGGGCCACCCGTGCGGGAGCGGTACTCTCAAGTCAAGCAGCTCCTTGTTGAAAAGCGCGATGAGGAAGTTTTCTTGCCGCATGATACGGTTCGCGATGTCGTGCGCGTCTAGTTTAGCACCCTCGATCGCGCGCGGGCGTGAAGACGACGAGGAGAGTTCAGTCAATGGATTAGAGTTGCGGATGGCTCCAATGCGTCGGACGACTTCGGGCCAGGAGATAGTCTGGATATCTTCCTGGAAAAAAAAGTTGAGAGATGAACCTGCGGCGTATAGGTGAGGGACGCACATCAGGTATTTGAAGGAGATATGTATAAAAGTGATACATGTCCACGAGACGCATTATGCTTAATACAAACAAAGCGATTTGCCAAACGTAGAAAGCACAAAACAGCATGAAGAAGAGGAACGTAAAACCCGAAAAACTGCAAATTAAATAGCATGAGAAATGCCAAGTGCGTATTCAGGAGAGGAGAGCGCACCGGGAGATGCAGCGCTCGACAACAATATCGGATAGCCGTGTGACTTGATCAGGGTGGATGCGCGAATAGTCCACGCAGCGTAGGAGGAATGTCGAAAAGGTAATGACAAAACCGACTGTGCTGGGCTAGGCATTAGCGGAACTCTCTGAGACGCGAAGGGGTACTGACAGAAGGTTCAGCCCCCGCTTGAGAGCAATAGAATATATCCCTTTGCCGTGGTAGTACAGGTACACGTCTTGAAGAAACGCATCGAGGTTGTATACATTCACCCAATTCCACAGCGCACGCTCGTACGCATCCAATCCGCGCTTTGGATTGGACTGTCCAGCGGTGGGCGCGGATCGAGCGAGAGGAGGACGGTCTACATTAATCTCCGAGGGACGTGGTGGTACAGATATCCGTGGTGCGTCGATGGGCGTGGTGGTGTTCGTGGCGTGGCGTGTGTCGCGTGCCCGGCCTTTGCGCGATAACGGGGCACGGCGCAAAGCGGGGGACTCGATCAGGAAGCTCTCTGGGACTTCACCGTCTGACTCTGACTCCTCTTGTATGCGATCGTCCTCGCGAACGTTGGGTCGGAGTATACTAGTCTCCGTGGCACCGCGGGTAAGGCGTTGCGTAGGGTCCGGAGCCGCAAAGGAGGTCTTGGATGTTGAAGCGGGGAGGGCCTGTGCCTCAAGGTCAATATGTTCATGTCTTGGGGACGCGGCATCCGTGTCCTCTTCGTCCTCTTCGAGGACAGACTGGTTGGCTGCCATGTAGCCCTGGTATGCGTGGCCTAATGGGTTGAGCATGTTGAGGAAAGGGCGCGAGCTGGTGGTGGGCGCGTAGACAGAGTGAGTAATAGAGCGTGAGGCAGACAAGGAATGGCCAGAAAAACGGCGGTTATTAGGTGGGGAGGTCATCGTGTCCTGCCACGGTCGGTGGTGCAACCTCGCGCGTCTTGGCTAAAAGAGGCCAGTCGCGGTGTCTGTGACTCGGCTCTCGCCTAAAGTCATCTTTGCTTGCTTTCACTGTATCTGGTTTACACGAATCACTCTACATGTATGTAAAAAAAAACCGTCGGTGCCGATCGCATCAAATCTCAAGTCAAGTCAAATAATATGGACAACTCCTAAGTTACGTTTGGTTACAGTAATTATGAGTATAAGTGAGTCAGTGACGCCTTCAGGCTTAGGCTTGATATTCGACACGGTTAAATCGCCCGTCGGCGCGATTAGGGGGATAGCCTTCATATAATACTTAGGCACACCCCAGGTCTACAAAACGTCAATAATGGCAGCCAACTGTTCCATGCCTAGGATGCACGTTTGTATTTGTTGAAAAGGACATATTGCCGAACGGGCGGATGGCACAGTGGTAGCGCGCTTGCTTCGCATTCTCTTACTCTGGAGATCCGTTGCATGAGGTCGTGGGTTCAAACCCCACTTCGTCCACATTTTTTCCCCATTTGACCCTGCTATTGATCACGCGGAGATAACATTATTTTTCTTCCTCAGCTACAATATTAATACAGCAGTACTGCGCGCTCTCATTCTCCTCGCACTATCATAGAATCCCATGTCTCCTATGGGTCTGCATTGAATTACGGAGCGTGGGCCTCCACTATCGGAGATCTTGTGATAAGAAACGTTGCCAAATGATCTTGTGTAACAGGAACGAAGGTCATGCGATACTTACAGTAATCGTGAATCCATTCTACTTACAACTTCCGATTCTCTGACTCAGATAACTCTACAGCTGCGCAGTCTAATTTAGAACTTCCAACCCCCCGTAAGGCTCATGACATCATTCGGATCAATCGCCGCTCTAATCCTGCGGAGTCTCTCAACATTACCACCATACATGTCCTCCAGAGGCGTGCCAAATAGCGCATAATTCACATATTTCGCTGCATGTGACACATCCTGTCCGTCCGCAAGAGTAACATCGCGGATTACGTCTGCGAAATTGCGTAGCGCAAAGGCCATTGTGTCATCCAGCGAGCTGTTAGACCACCCGACAGTGAGGGCAGAGGGGAAGACAGCGTGTGAACGGTCGGGCGGATATGCAGAATCGTTCCCGTACGAGAAGAGACCTTTGTCGAAGGTCTCAAAGGTTGCAGTCAGGGTTACGTTTTTGTCTTGAGCATAAAGGCGCTCCCCCCAGAACTGAGAACGCATTTACAATCCGATCTTAGGCTGTAGGTAGGGACTTTACCTTGGTTTGATTCACAAACGCGTCGAAAACGGCAGGCGAATGCCGAGTCACTGGTGCATCATTGAAAAAGAGGCTGAGTAATACGCCATGTCAACCCATATTCCATCACACAGCGGCATGAACTACTAACCGATTCCCATGATAGTCGTTCGGAGGACCCAGAATCTGAACACAATCAGAGAATGAACTTGTTGACACATTTCCCCCAATAGCCGGGATTGCCAAGAGTTCGTCGAATACTCCCGAAGGAGTGGGCGCATCGTAAAAGAAAAAAACAGCGGCCAAGAACTATCAACGATGTCAGTTCAAAATAACAGTGATGACCCATGACAGAGCATACCAGATCGGAAGAATAAGTCAGGGAAATGTCAGACGCAGCCTTAGTATCGTTGTTCTGATCATATTTGAAAAGCGCTTTCTTAATTGCATCCAGTTGGCTCTCGTTGTAGTAAAGTAAGCCTCCCTGCCAGATTTCGAGTAAGTCTCCAATGTGATCGGCAAATGATTATAGTCAACTTACCCATACGTCAGTTTGAGGGTGCGACTCGAGGATGAATTTGGTCACAATTCCCTATAAACGGTCAAAACCCAAGAAATGGATTATTGCCTCAAATTGATAGCATACGAAATTATTCATCCCTCCCTGCAATTGGAGACCCTTAGCCATACCCATCTGTATCTAGCTTCTCCACTTACTCTCAATCCGAACCAAAGATCTTCGTCCTTTGAAGTCACATTTGTGATGGTTCCGTTTGGAAGTACAAGTTCAAATCTAGCAATGTTGTCAACCGTAAGTCCATACTGACTTGTCTTAAATGAATAGCCTGAAAACATATGTGATCTAGCACTCGATCGATGAAAGAGACTCACCTCCGCCAAGGGTCAACCCTGCAACACCGACGCCCGGTACACGCCCTCCTATAACGTTCACTCCAGTCGGTTCAAGTACCGCATACACTTGGTCCCAGGTGAGGCCAGCCCCAACCTCAACTGTTCCACGCGTAGAATCGACCTTTGTCTCGTTGAAGCGTGTCATCGCGATCTCTATTCCGCTGGTCGAGGAAAATCCTGGGTTCGAGGCGTGTCCTCCACCTTTCACCGCAAAGGGAGTTCTACTTGATCCCAAAATACGTAGCTATGAAAATATGGGTCGGCAAAAGCTAGTGCATCAGATCAAGATTGCTTACAATCTTGCTGACGTCCTCGGCCGAGCCTGGTTCCACGGAGCAAGTGGATGCCTGGGAACTCGAAGAAGCATCGTGGGAAATGTCGAGCAAGTACTCAGGTGCAACTTGATCACCCATTAGAATGAAGTGACATAAATGAGAGAAGGACATACGAGGAAAAATACTTGTGAGGCGCCAGAGATAGCTGCTGCGATGTCATTACAGGCACACAGGAGGTCTGAGGAATTGCGCATCTCCAAGGCTGCTGGCTTGCCATATGAAGGTAATGCCAGAGCGATTGCGTAAAGAAGAATCGACGATAAGGCCATGAGTAAACCGGTGTTGGGCAGAGAGCAGCCCCCAGTGAGTAAGCGAATCCTTTCTATATAGTCCAGGAGACGGGTGACATGACCAATGCCGTGGCCGGCCTTCTGTATCAATCACTTCATGATGTTCGAATTAAAGTACAAAGGAATGCCCCAGGAAAGAAAATACTTTTTCCGAGAAGCAGACAATGAGGCGCCGACGTCACTTGTTGGCACCGTTGGCGCTCTAAAACCCGCCTTGTCAAGTGCATGCATGGCCACAGATTACCCTCAAACCCCACCTTGTCCCGCTGCCATAGCAGGCTCTCCCAGGCTTTCAACCAGAACAGAAACAAAACTAGTCAATCGGGAGGAATGACCGAGGTTCACTGAAAGATATTCGGATGCTGCATAATCATCATGTGAATATCAATGTGTTCGCCCCACCGTAAGAGCGCAAAGACGTGGGAGGCCTATTCCCCAGCCAGGGAATAGAAGACCTTAGCCGTGACACCGAATGACATCCTTTGTCATGTTCCAGCACCTTCGAGTCCACGGTTAGTTCGGGCGCATTTGCTATCGTCTCTAGCACACTCTCTGTTGTGAGCGGCGGAGCGAAGCAATTATCGGCTAAAGGCTGATTCCCCAGAACAAACATGTACAAATCGTTTCACCCTTTGAATTTGCAGAAATTGAGAAGAATCGCCCGCAGGTCGTGCATACGTCCTTCTGTCTCTCCATAACTTCGCATACGCGTTGCGAAGGAGACGTTACATATAGTTATCCCTAAATTTATTGGGTTCCGACCGCGTTCACCGTGCTTTTGTGCGGCGTCTTTTGCTTTCAAATCCCGCCGCTGCCCGCAGGGAAAGTCGTGGATCTACTGTATGAGGGGGCGAGACCGTGACTACGCGCCAATGAACGCAAGCCATCGCCGGTCCGCACCGGCACGATTGCGATCTCTTACTCTAACAGCGCCGCCATGCCCCGTCACCTTCGACCTCGCAAGACGCGTCAAACTTATACAAATTTATTTCAAGGCGACGATGAACAAGAAAATATATCCGGTCCTTCTCGCCAGGAGGACGACGGCGGTAGTGACTTTGCGCCCCCTGTACCTGAAGAAGCCGCAAACGCTGATAAAGAAGGCAGTGACGACGGGGATGACATAGGGGATCCTGCGTCTCTGGGGGATGGCATGGGCGCAGAGGGTGACTCTAGTTCTGAAAGTAATTCGTCGATCATGCGGCGTTCAAAGAAGAGGAGCAGCGCTGGCCTGGGAAAAGCCAAAAACATAGGTACAGACACGGCCAACGCGAAGGCTACTCATAGCTTGAACAGTCCCGCTCCTGCCGCGACACCTGGTCCCGCCACACGTCGATCCACTGTCCCGACCGCTACACCCACCACATCCACCCGGCATGTGCTCCCGAACCCGAACATCCACCATCGCCACCGTCCCGTCCCACTCTTCTCCGGTCCGACGGCAACAGCCGCGTTAGCACCCGCGTCGACCTCTACGTCTACATCTGCGGTGATGCTACGCGTCGAGCGTCTGCGACACAAGCCGCTGCTCTTTGCGTCGAACGAGACCATACCGACAAACGCGTATGCATCTTCCCCGTTGCTCACGCGCAGAGTCGGCAAGGCATGGGGCACGGGCATTGGCGTGGGTCCGGTATGGCAGATTGTCGAAGACCTCGGGTGGTTCAGGGAAGCTGAGAAGTTGAAGCCAGGTGCAGAGCCGGAGCAACAGGTCAGCGGGGAGGCTGCTGTGGTGGAACCGACATCAGAGCAAGAGCCAGTCTTCGATGAACGCAGGCGCAGGCCAAGGGTGTATGCGGACGTTGCGCCCCCGGAGGGATGGGCGGATCCACTTCGTATCGAGTGTGTCTCCACCTTTCACCCTTAACGAATGAGTCATGCGTCGGCTTTTTGACGCCGTTGTGCCAGAGATGGGACCGCATATATGCCAATTGACGGAGGCGATAGTGCTGATTCCGGTGGCTATGCTGCTCCTGCACCGCCGGTATCTTGCGACTTTGGTCCGTTTGGGGAACAGACTCAGGTCAACCTCGAGACACTTGGAACACAAAAACTGTGTAAGATCCCGTTCTACGCGTTTCCCACTCCCTGTTGCTGCGTTCAATATCTTTTTTAATATCTCTGATTGACATCGTTGCTTTACTCACAGCCCAGTTCTTGCCGGAAAGCAGCGCCCACGTGTTCAACGCTGGCGCGTCGGTTTGGGGACTTGACTGGTGTCCTATCCATCCAGACGACCGACCGCGTAAGAACATGTTCATTTACTGTGGGACTCCATTGACGTCTCGTGCCGAGCCAGATTGCTCCTATAAGTACTACCTTGCCGTCGCGCCACTTCCCTCGCGCACCCATTCTCCCGAGATTGGTATCAAAGTCCCACGTCCCTCACGCTCCTGCATTCAATTATGGAGCTTGGGCCGCTCCGCTGGTGTCGGGGAATCTGGTGATGACAAGGGAGAAATGCATTGCGAGATGGTGTTGTGTATAGACAGTGGACCAGGCATTGGAGCTTAAATGGTGTCCGTTGCCCTCGCACGATCCCGTATGTCCCGAATCTCTCTGCTACTGGCTGCTAGTGCTAGGGTTTATGGGGCAGCAAAAAGCTGTCAGGGCCACCTCCAGCCTCTCCGAGAAAGCTGGGTCTGCTCGCTGGCGTATTCGAAGATGGCACCATGTCGGTGTACGTGGTTCCGTACCCGCCAGATCTTGCATCAACGGAAC